CACTGGAGAAGTTCTGAGGCAGATGTCACTGTCCTGGCCCCTTTTCAACATTCCTGCTCTGAAAGTGGAGCTGAAGGTTCTTGGCAGCTTTTCAGGAGATGTTTTCATCCCAAGCTCCATTTCTTTCTTTCTCTGTAAAGGGACTTCTGAGCCCCAGACTGCTGTGGTCTGTGGAGTGACACTGTTCTCCCCGCCCATTCCTCCTCTGTGCACATTTCAGACTCTGCTCTCTGAACTCTGCTTGATCGATGACCATTCCCCCATCTGCTTTCTGTCTTCGAGAAAGTCACTGAAATCTCTCATCCCTGATGACTTCCTCATGTGCTCTTTTTGTGTGTGTGTCTATTTCCTCCCCCACCCCCCTTTGTTCTCATTTATACAGGGTCTGGGGTGCACACAGGCACTTAGGCTGCCAACCCAAACCCGAATCACAATCACTTATGAACATTTTATCTCGCCAGACTAGAGAGCATTGTACTTTGTGGAGCTTTTAGGAATAATAGATTTTCATTCGCCTGTATGGAAATTAATTAAAACTGAAAGGATGTGTGCCATTTTGAATGCTGAACACTTTGTTTAGCAGTGTCTTTCCAGATTCTCAATGTATGTCAGCACTCCCCTACAGAAAGAATTGTCGGTAAAGCACCAAGAGCTCAAGAAACTTGCCCAGAGTTACCCAGCTGTTAGTTAAAAGAGTCAGGACTCAAACCTGAACACATTGTATGTATTTCTGCTAAAAGGACATGCCTAAGATTTAGAACCTGTGCTGTCTTTTTTCATTTACTGATTTCTTTTATTAAACAACACATGCACTTAGTAAATAATTTGAAAAGGCTTAAGTGGCTACACAGTGAGTACAACTCCCTTCTCACCCCATCAGATAGTCACCCAATTCTCCTTCTTGGAAGCAGCCACTGTTGTTTGTGTCTCCTTCCAGAGACAGCTTCTGCATTTACAAGCAAATATAAATATATTCATTTTTTCACTCTTTCTGCTGATTATAGCATACTTTTCCTCACTGTGGTTTTTTCCTCTTACCAATATATCTTCAAGGTTAACCTCAGAATCTCCTTTTCATTGCTACATAGTGTCAATGTACTGGGATGCCCCCTTAAGATGCAGTGTATAACTGTATGATTCTGTCATCTACTGCAGAGAACCTTGAAGTTAAGTGGAGTTGTGTGCCTCCAGATAGCACAAGTCAGATCTCTAAACACAACCCTGTCTTAGATGTTTCTGTTTTAATAGCAATGCCATATGACTTGGTGTCATGTGAGTCTAGTTGCTACACGAAGCAGTTTCTCTTTCTTGGTACTTCCCCCATTTGAGGCCAATCAATAGCTAACACTACTTCAGATGACACCATCTTATCAGAGTTTCTGCTGACCTCTTAGAAAGGATGACGTAAATTAAAGTATCTTAAGAGACATCTGTCCATCCACAAGCCTCTACCTTTCTTGTTTCTGATCTTCCAGTTCTTTTTCTAGGCTCTTGGGTAGGTCATTGGGCACTTCTCAGGAATGAATGAATGAATGAATGAATGAACAGATCTAGATTGATAGATAAGATAAATAGATAGATAGATAGATAGATACCCATTTCTCCTTCCCCACAAATTGGATGACAAGGTGCCCCACCCACAGCCCCACTGTCTTTGAGGGACACCCCTGGGTATGGCTGGAATGCAGCCGCTGTCCACTTTCAGTTTGTACCCCAATACCAATTTGACTCTTCCATCAACCAAGCTTGGCCTGTTCCTCCTCCTCCATATTGTTTTTTATTTTATATTTTATCTGGGGTGGGGGACACTCTTAGAGGTTTCCACTTGGCCTTCTCACTGTGAAAGTGCTTGCCTTAAAACCTGGGCTACTTCAACATTAATAGATTAGAAAGATGAGGAAGAACCAGCTAAGGACACTGAGAAGGAGCATTTCAAGAAGAGCGTGATCACCTGCGAGATGCATAACCTCAGTCTAATCATGAGAAAAGATTGGACAAACACAAATTGAGAGACAGCCTACAAAACAGTAGCCCTGTCCTCTTCAAAAATGTCAGGCTGATTAACTTTTCCAAATTCAGGGAGACTAAAGAGATGTGCAAACTGAATGCAGTGTGTGATTCTGGATTGGATTCTGATCTGGGAAAAGAAAATATGAGTATATAGCTATAAAGGACATTATTGGGACCATTGATGAAATCTGAATATGAACTGAGGACCAGATGAGAGTGCTTATCAATGCCAAATTTTCATTTTTGAAAATGTTTTTGTTCTTAGGAAACACACAGAAGCATTAATGGGTAGGGAGCATGATATGTTCAGATTATGCTCAAAAGATTCACAATTTAACTTTTATAATCTTTTTAAAGTGCTGTGATGATATGGCCACCCATGTCTTTTGGAGTAGAATGGCTGAGCATAAGGGTTTCACTTTCCTGCCCCACGGTTTGCCTTTTCACTCTCTTACTGCCATTTCCCCCCAATAATTTTTTGCAAATTTTCTATTTGAAAAGATGAAAGAATTTTATAGTAACACCTATTAGCCACACCTCCTAGGTTCTACAGTTGACATGTTGCTGTTTGCTTTATCATATATCTACCCAAAAAAATCCATCTAGCCACTTTTTTTTGCATCTCAAAATAAATTGCAGCCATCAGAACACTCCACCCCTAAAAGCTTTAGCATGCGTATCGTTGCCTAGAGTTCAATATTTCTTTATGGTTCTTTTATTATTATTATTTTGAGGTAGAATTTACATACTGAAATGCACTGGATGAGTTTTAACAAATATGCACACCTGTGTAACCCAAACCCCTGTCACGATGTAGAACATTACCAGCACCTCAGAAAGTTCTCTCATGCCCCTACCAGCCTATCCCTTCCCATCCCATCAGAGGCAACTACTGTTCTAACTTTTTTACTGTAATGTTGATTGTCCTGAAACGTCATAAATTATATCATATAGTATGTAGTCTACTGCATAAAACTGCTTTCACTCAACATAATGCTTCTGAGATTCGTCCATGTTGCCGCGTGCATTGGCAGATTGATCCTTTTATTGTCGAGCAGTGTTCATCGTACAGATGTCCTACGAGTGATTTATGCATTGTCCTATGGCTGAACACCTGGGTTGTTTCCGCTTTTCAGCTACTATGAACAAAGCTGGTATGAACATTCACATACACGCTTTTTTGTGGGCATATATTCTCCTTTCTCCAGTGAAAACTTAGGAGTGGGATGGCTGGCACATAGGGTAAATGTATGTTTAACTTTATATAAGAAATTGCCAAACTCTTTTCCACAGTGGCCGCACCATTTAGCATTCCCACTGGGAGTGTATGAGAGATCCAACATCCAACACTTGGTTTTCTTTTCTGTCTTTTCACTTTAGCCTTCCTAGTGGGTATGTAGTGGTCTCCTGTTGTGGTTTTAATTTGTATTTCCCTGATTACAGTGATGTTGAGACGTCTTTCATGTGCTCATAGGATATTCATGTGTCGTCTTTGGTGAGGAATCTGTTCACATATTTTGTCCATCTTTTCATTGTTTGTCACCTTGCAACTGAGTTTGTAAGAGTTCCTTTTATGTTTTGGACACAAGTCTTTTGTCAGATGGAAGTATTGCAAGTTTGCACTCTTAGGCTCTGCCATGCCTTCCTGTTTCTTCAGTGTCTTTTGGTGAGATGTTTTCAGTTTTGCTGAAGTCAGTTGTTTGCTTTTATGATTATTGTTCTCTGTGTCTACTAAACCTTTGCCTACTTCAGTGAAGTTTTTAAATAAACAGATATTCTTAATTTTAAAATATTTATCTCTTTAGTTTTTATTTTATAGTTTGGCTCTTGTTGTATGTAAGACATTTTTGCCCACTCCAATGTTGTGAAGACATGCGGTTTTCTTCTCAAAGCTTGGTTGTTTTACCTTTCACGTTTGGAGCTATAATCCACCTGGAATTTTTGTGTATAAAATGACGTGAGATTCCACATTTATTTTTCCCATGTGCTTATCTGATTAATCCAGCAACATTTATTACAGAGACTATACTTTCACCACTGCACTGCAGTGTCACCTTTATCATAAGCCAGCTGACCACACGTGTGGGTCTGTTTCTGCACTTCCTAGTCTGCTATACTGGCCTTTTAAGAAAGAGGTCTTGCTGTCTAGTAGTGCAAGTTGTCCAACTTTGCTATTGTCATGATTCGTGGGGAGGGGTCGCAGTGGAGATGTCCTCTTGGGATGGTGGGAGGGGTAGTGGTGATGTCATTTAGATGTAGCCGTTTGGTTTTCAGTTGGCATTATTGTTATCACGGGCCAGGGACTGGCCCTAAGTGCCTAATTCTCCACATAGAAATCCTCTGTAGCCTAAGAGATGATTTGTGAGAATCTGATGCTAACCTGAATCACCTTGACTGCTCTGTGACCCAGAGCATCCGGAAGGAAAGAGGGAAGAAAGCAACTGAGTCTCATGCTCCCCAGTGCTCCTGTCACCCAACAGGCACTCATTGTTTGGAATGGGAAGGGCCATTGTCATCTGCACTCACTTCTCGCCTTTGTTGATGCATTCCTAGTGCAGTTGTCCCCTCTGTGCCCTCCCATTAGGAATGACTTCCACTCCGGATCTTTGCTGTGGAGTGTGTGCATGTGTGTGTGCACCATATATGTACCCAGCCCCTTACCAGAAACCCCTGGGGCCCACTGTGCATTAGAAATCAGAATTCTTCTAATTGTCTTCTATTTTATGTAATTCCCCCAGCAGGGTCCAGGGCAGCACCCTGTAAACCAAACACGTTAATATTTCTTCAGCAAACTGTATAAACATGTCTATTAAGTTGGGTAAATAAAGCTTCCAAACAGCTTCACATCAATTCAAATGAGATTGGATGCCAAATGTATGAAATAACTGTTGGGTTTCAAAGCCTGTGGATTTTAGCATTGCAGTTACAGACTGTGACGGTGGGCCTGTGCTGTTTATTTCATACATCGCTCTGTTCTTTTGACCTGACAGACCGTGTCACACCAGTTGAATGCCGTGACCGAAGACATGTATACCAATGGGTCTGCTGCCCCAGGTAGCCCTGCCCAGGCTAAGGGGCAGGAAGTACGGAAGGTGCGACTCATACAGTTCGAGAAGGTCACAGAGGAGCCCATGGTAATCCCTTGTCATATTTTCCACCCACTGCCTACTGTTGACCCCGTGAGTCACTGGGCCACCAGAGGAAACTCAGAAGGCAGCTTTCCTAATGTCTCTGTCTCCATCTCTAGCTCCTCCTCAAAGCAGGCTTCAGGCCCATTCTAGTTGAGGACCACCCCAGGCATAGATGGAAAATATTTCTCCTGAGAAATTGCCTTCAGTTGTCTTAAAGATAACCTCAGGAAGAGCCTAAAAGAAAGCTGACTGAACCATTGTCTTCATTTCAGGGGATCACTCTGAAGCTGAATGAGAAGCAGTCCTGTACGGTGGCAAGAATTCTACATGGTGGCATGATTCATAGACAAGGTACTCGTGTGGGGCCATAGTTTGTGGTTCATTCACCTTGGTGGTGAGGGACATGGAGCTTACAATCTTCAAAACTAGGAGCATTTGTGTGTGTGTGTGTGTGCCAAGACATGTTTTGTGTGTGGCTTAATCAGTGGTTCTTTAGAATAATCGTGTGATAAGATCTTCATATGAATTGCCAAGTGCCACCATCTCTCACTCTGAGCATTTCTTTTTTTTTAAAGATTTTTATTGAGGAACTGGGGGATGGGAAGAGTACTGGGGAATCGGAGGAAGGGGAACAGACAAGTTGCTGTCGTTTTGTTCTTCAGTCTAGTTGTGGAGGGTGTTGCTTCACTAGCCCAAGCTGGCACCATCATTGCGCTTTTCCCGGGCGAGGCAGATCAGTCGCCGGCCTCTGGACAGCCGCTCACGGCAGCTGCCAGCCACTCACGCTGGCTGCCAGCTACACATGGTAGCTTATGGCAACCCACTGCAGCAGGGGCTGCAGCCTACACCATCGCTGGCAACCCACGGCAGCCCAGCTCCAGGTCAAGCTGTTGTTCAGCATCTTAGCTGTAGAGGGCAGTGTCACTGGCCCTCATATGTGGGATCTGAACCAGGGCCCTCTGGCATTCCAAGCCAGCTCTTAACCAATGTACCACTCGGCCGGCCCTCTGTTATTCTTTTTTAGTATGTACTGGCATGTCGTAGCCTCCTGGGATCTGTAGCTACTCCAGTTCCAGGGAGCTTTGAGGACGAGGTGCTTTTATTCTGCTGTTGGAGTAATGAGGTCAGAGAGGATGAGATAGTCTCAGAGTGTCAAGTGCTTGCCTCGGTACATCCCTCAAAGGACTCAAAAGAACATGCATGGTTGAATGTTTTCAGTCCTGGGGATTTTACACGCAGTCATTTGTATAATATTCTCTAGATTGTGTTTTCTTTTCTGTCTGATCTTGAGTTACTTTGGCAGCTCTTGTTTGAACATTTATTCTTTTGTGGACTGATTTTTCATTCATTTCGTGGTAGGCTCTCTTCACGTCGGGGATGAGATCCTGGAAATCAATGGCACAAACGTGACTAATCACTCAGTAGATCAGTTGCAGAAGGCGATGGTGGGTATTTGCTATGCCACTGTCTTCATGAAGTGTGGATCCCCATTGGTGTGAGCATACCTCATTTTTCGGTCAAAGTATTTGTGCCCCTTGGAGGAGAGGAGACTGTCACCATTGCTATTCTTTATTCTGTGCAAGAAATGAGTGTTCTCTGCTTTTGTTTAGTAAGCTTCTAAAACAAAGCAAATAACCCACGGCATCTGTCTAGAAAGAACATTGGGCTGGGTGTCAGAAGGCCTTAGTCTTTAATGGCAGCTCTGAATCCCTGCCCTGCTTTATTCTAGCCCTGGGATTTTGAGCAGGACGATGAACTTCTCTAAGTCATCTGTGAAATTAAGATAGCAATCCCTATCCTATGGCACATATTTGTCATGAAGAGCACATAAGATATTATAATGAGAAGTTGAGTGTGCTGCTTAGACTCAATTGATATTTGTTGAGCACCTACTATGTGCCAGGCATTGTGCTTGGTGTTTGTGTTGGCTCTCATGTTTGCCCTTCCAGATTCTTCACCATCCTTCTCCACCCCTACATACACCAGAGAACATTCCTGTAACCAAAGCATTAAAAACCCCATGGGATAGTTGGGTTTCATTGGCTACTGCCAGCAGGAACCACACCTCAGGCACTCGGGACTGAGATGCTAGGGTACCTGCCAGGGAATGAACCAGAGAACAGTAACTTGGGAAAAAAGTGTCATTTGAGCCAGAATGACATTTTTCACTTGAGACAGAGATGAGAAAACTGAACCTTCGATAGTTTTGAAACTTGCTCATGGTCACATGGCTGGAATTAGCTTTAATCAAAACTCCTTGCTTAGACTTCTGCTTCTGACCAAGATAAAGAAAAGGGACCATATTTCCCCTGCCTCTTGAAACGACCCAAATCCTAAACGTCCATGCACCTGACAACAGAGCTTCAAAATACTTCAAGCAAAAACTGGTAGAATTGCAAGAAGAAAACTACAAATCCACAATTATAGTCCAAGATTTCAATATCTTTCTCTTAGGACCAGCTGAGTGGCTCAGTTGGTTAAGAGCTCCCTCAAGAGTGAGGGCTCTGAGCAACAGGGTCGCTGGTTCGATTCCCGGCCCAAGCTGAGCCACAGCTGAGCTGCCAACAGATGGCAGGATGGCTTAGCTAAGAAAAAAAAAATCAATATCTTTCTCTTAATAGTCGACAGAACAAGTAGCCAGAAAATTAGTGAGGATACAGAAGATACATACAACACTATAAACCGACTTGACCTAACAGACATGTACAGAACACTCAACCCAGCAACAGCAAAACACACATTGTTCTCAAGTGAACATGGAACATTCTCCAGGATGACAAAACAAGCCTCAACAGATTTAAAGGATTCAAATCATACAAAGTGTGTTGTCCGCCCACAATGAAATTAAATTAGAAATCCAAAACAGAAAGATATCTCGAAATCCCTAAATATTGTAAATTAAACAACACACTTCTGAAGCCCACAGGCCACAGAAGAGAAATCACAAAGGAAATTAGAAAATATCTTGAAGTGAATAAAAATGAAAACACAGTTTGTGAAATGCCACTAAAGCAGTGCCAGAGTTGAAGTTTAGAACACCAAACGGCTATATTAGAAAATAAGAAAGGTGTCAATCAGCGGCCTCAGCTTCTACCTTAAGAAACTAGAAAAAGGGCACATTAACAAAATGAGGGAGAAAAACCATATGATCATCTCAATAGATGCAGAGAAAGAATTTGACAAAATTCAGCATCCTTTTATGATAAAAACTCAATACAATAGGTATAGAAGGAACATACCTAAACACAATAAAGGCCACATATGAGAAACCCACAGCTACTCAATGGTGAAAAGTTGGAAGCTTTTCCTCTAAGATCAGGAAAAAGAGAGTGGAATTGCTATCTTTTGGAAAAGTGATTTGAGGCTAGCTATTAAAATGTTCATACCCTTTGATTCTGCATTTCCATCATGGTATTCTATAAAAACCAAAATGCCAATATGTAAGTACTTGTATTCAAGCATGTCTATTGAAGCAGATTGTAGTGAGAAAAAAAACAACTAGCACCAATCGCAGTGCCCAGTGATGAGGAAGATGGCTGAATAATGTTTGATAACAGCCATAGCGTGGAATGCTGCATAGCCATTAAAAAGAATGAAAGACATCTTCATGCATGGATCCAGATGCACGTCCATGAAGTAAAGCAAGTTGTTGTGTAATATATGTAGTAAAAGCCCATCTTTGTTAAAAATAACAAAAATACATATGAATATGTATATATGTGTAAATATTTGTAAATGTTTTATTGGTGTGGAGAAAGGTGTGGATATATGTGGGCCAAGATTCATTTTAGGTACTTCTAGGTAGTTTTTGTGGTCGAGTGTGGGGAGGAGGGGAAATCCTTAGATTTTTCTTCATTATTCTTTGTATGCCTGCATGTTGTTACACTGGTTTATGGGACTCATGACACTTGTATTGAAGGAGGGAATTGTCCTACAAATTTTCAAAGTGCACAGAAAAAAAATGGCTATTGGGGAAGAAAAACACATGGGACTTTGAGAGGGAGAAAATGAGTTTATGAAATGCCAAATCATCCAAGTTAGCTTTCCTTAAAATTTTACTTCCCCTTTCTTTTTCAATAGAAAGAAACCAAAGGAATGATCTCATTAAAAGTAATTCCCAACCAGCAAAATCGCCTCCCTGCACTACAGGTAGGTAGTCCCATTTTCTCTGCGGTGGTAATGGCAGAATTCAGGCCCAGTGTTGAGATTTGATTGAAATGATATGATTCAAACTTTTAAGTTCTAAATATCTCACAAATGTAGCTGTCTGCAGCTCTCTGAACTAAGCTAACGTCCATTACAAACAGGCAGGCCTTTCTGACCACCAGCATGGCTGGCTGGCACCTTGCTGCCTATTTGCAATGGGTGTGAAAGGAAAAGTTAATCTCTTTTTTCTACAACTCCAAGAGATATATGGGCAAAGAGATCATTCACAGGAGGAAAAATGCAAATGGCTCTGAACATGTGAAAAAATACCCAATCTTACCAGTCATCAAAGAGAGAAATAGCTTGGATAGGGCCTTGGCAGATGAATGTAGAAGGAGTTTTTGTTTGTTTGTTTTAGTTTTTTTTTTGTTTGTTTTTTTTTGTTTTAATAACTCTGAAGCTTCTATTGCAGATAACTGTAATAACAAGTTCAGGGTCTTTAATAGATATGTGAGTGTTCATATTTTCAATTTCTTGTTCTGTCACTTTTGGTAAATTGTGTTTTTCAAGGGATTTGTCAAATGCATTGATGTGAAATTATCCATGAAATCTTTTTATAACCTTTTAAATATCTCTTGGGTCTCTGAGAAGTTTCTCTACTGGGAAATTGTACCTTCTCTGGTTTCTTAATCAGCCTTGGTAGGGTGTTCTTAATATCATGAATCTTCAAAGAACCAATTTTGCCTTTGTGAATCCTCTCAACTCTATTTTCTGTTTCATTTGTTTCTGCTTTGTCCTTCCTTCCTTCCTTCCTTCCTTCCTTCCTTCCTTCCTTCCTTCCTTCCTTTCCGTTGGATTTGTACCCCTAATCTTCCTACCTGAGGTAACCAGTATGAAATTCTTATACAGTTTGTTCTAGTGTGTTTTTTTCTATGTATAAATAAATACTTTTTTTAAATGTCAAGTATACTAAGTATTGTTTTTGCTTAATGATATTCTCATTAACGTTGTATCAGCAGCATTTTGCAATGGCATTAAATATTCTTCTACAAATTGATTTTTATGGGTGCATTGTCATATATTCAGTAGGTGACCATAACTTAACTAAATTCCCCATTCTTGGAAAATTAGGATGTTTCCATAGTTCACTCTTAAATAATGCTGTGGTGAACATACTCATCCATATATTGTAACTGACAGCTTTTGCATAGAAGTGGATTGTGAAAGGGCCGGCTGAGTGGCTCAGTTGGTTCAGAGCTCGCTCAAGAGTTTGAGCTCTGAGCAACTGCGGTTCGAGTCCAGCCCGAGCTGAGCAGCCACTGAGCTGCCAACAGGTAGCAGGATGGCTCAGCTTAAAAAAAAAAAAAAGAAGTGGATTGTGGAATCAAGGGGTATCAGCTCAGCCCCAGTAAACAAACATGTTGACCCAGAAAAGCATTTCATACCTTGTTGTGGGGCTCAGGCCTGACCCCTCCACAGGCACAATAGTAACCAGCTCCTGTCACTCCAGCTCCCCCTTCATTCTGGCCTCTGTGTCATTCATTCAACCCTGACACCAATTATTTACAGCTAAGCTTTCTACTTCAATGTGTCATGCTGGTGTTTCTCTTGAAGCTGCCACTGCAGGTCCCCTTGCCTTCTTTTCCAGATGTTCATGAGAGCACAATTTGACTATGATCCCAAAAAGGACAATCTGATTCCTTGCAAGGAGGCGGGACTGAAGTTTGTCACTGGGGATGTTATCCAGATCATCAACAAGGATGACAGTAACTGGTGGCAAGGGCGGGTGGAAGGCTCCTCCAAGGAGTCAGCAGGACTGATCCCTTCTCCTGAGCTGCAGGAATGGTGAGCCACTTTTATACAGGTGGGGTTTGCAGATGGAGTGGACCCATGCCTTCCACAAATAATGGTTTAGCTTCAGAACTCTGTCATCTTGTGTGTGGTGTGTTTCTCGACCAAGCCAGCTTCCTTGGCATAATGGGTGCAGCGGGGTTGGGGTGGGGTGGACGACACTGAGTTGATGAGCCCGACTGGCAGGCCTGTGCAGGAAAGGAAGCCTGAATAGCTCTTCATTCATCTGTGGGCCTCTGTTTCCTCGAATACTTTCCCTGTGGTTACTTGCTTTGAGTGGCAGTGCTGAGAAGGTATTTATTGGGGAATTGGGGGAGGGGAACAGCGTTGGGGAATCGGGGAAGGGGAACAGACAAATTGCTGTCCTTTTGTTCTTCAGTCTAGTTGTGGAGGACATTGCTCCACTGGCCCATGTTGGCCCATGTATTGTGATCATTGCGCTCTTCCCAGCTGAGGCAGATCAGTAGCTGGCCTTTGGACGGCCGCTCACAGTGGCTGCTGGCCGCTCACCCTGGCTGCCAGCCACTCATGGTAGCTTATGGCTGCCCATGGGCTGCAGCCTACGCTTTTGTACGCTTTTGCCGGTGACTCACAGCAGCCCAGCTCCAGGTCGAACTGTTGTTCACCACCTTAGCTGTAGAGGGCAGTGTCACTGGCCCTCATGTGGGATCCGAACCGGGGCCCTGCTGCTCACAGCTGGTGTCCCAAGCATGCTCTTAACCAGCGCGCCACTCGGCCAGCTCTGAGAAGGTGTCTTCTGAGTCCCGCAGAAAACAGTCATATTTGTAGTATGTGTCCTTTATGCAAATTCCTAGTACGTAGAAAATGAGGTGAGAATCCACATTTATTTTTCCCATATGCTTATCTGATTGTTCCAGCACCATTTATTATAAAGACCATGCTTTTCCAACTGCACTGTAGCGTCACCTTTATCATAAACGAGCTCAGACACGTGGGTGTCAGGCCCAGGGCCCTCTGCCAGCTGCCATCCAGATTAAGGCATGGATGGCTTCCCAGGGTTCACCTGCCTCCCTCATGTCTCTGGAGAGTTCTTATGTGGGTGTTCAAACACCCGGCAGTGGAAATGGGTCCAGAAAGCGAACCCCCACCATGTCCTCCCATCAATGCAGCCTGACCATTCCAGTTGGGCTATTTCTACCTCTCTCTTTGCAGAGCCCTCAGCTCTAGGCACCCCAAATCCAAGTGCAGTACCGAGAATACCATGTACACATTGGCTTACATGATTCTTCCTCCATTCTGCTCTATAAACCCTGCTCATCACAGACCCAGAGCTGCCTACACACAAGAGAGAAGCTGAGAGAAGGGGAATGGGGGATGGAGGAGTGCAGGGGTAGACAGAGAGGAAGAGGGACAGAGAGAGAAAGACACGGGGAAGTTGAGAGGGTGCTGACACAGACACAGAGTGTGAGAGGCTTAGAAAGAGCGGGATATGAGAGATTGAAGAGGAAAGAGGGTAGGTTATGAGACAGACACACACAGAGAGATGGGGAGTAAGGGGAGTGAGAGCCACATACAGACACTAAAAAGAAAGAGACAGAAAGTGAGGGAGAGTTGGGGAGAAGATAAGAGTGAAGGGGACAGTGTTAGAGACACACAGAATGAGTGGCTAGCAGAGGGCGTGAGAGAGAGGAGAGGCGTAAAGGACATCATGAGGGTTTTGGGCAACATCATGAGGGTTTTGGGCAACTACAAAGGGAAGGAGCAGAGCAGTCTGGAGGTGTACTGTGGAAGGGAAGGGGGGGTCATTGAGTGTCCCTGGGGCTTTTACACCGAGGGTCCGCTGACATCCTTGGTCATCTTTCCTTACCAGGCGAGTGGCAAGTGTGGCTCAGTCTGCTCCGAGCGAAGCCCCGAGCTGCAGTCCCTTCGGAAAGAAGAAGAAATACAAAGACAAGTACCTTGCCAAGCACAGCGCAAGTAAGCTTCCTGGGCCTCCTGTTGGCGGGCTCCTGGCAGTGAAGGGGAGATGGCGTGGTGCACAGTGGGACCTACGTTATGCGGAAAGCATGCCGTTTCTTCTGGTTTGTTTGTTTGTTTGTTTTTAAGCTGAGCCATCCTGCTACCTGTTGGCAGCTCAGCGGCAGCTCAGCTCAGGCCGGGAGTCAAACCGCTGTTGCTCAGAGCTCACACTCTTAAGTGAGCTCTTAACCAACTGAGCCACTCGGCCGGCCCCTCTTCCGGTTTTTTATTGCATCTGTCCTCCCAAGCTCACTGCAATGAGTGAGAGAATGTCAGTACATGTAAAGGAAGGCTCACCATCCTCACCCCCCGGGTAACCAACTGAACAGCCTTCCAGAACTTTCAGTGTATCACCACCATCGGCATGACCAGCTGGAAGGTCTGAGCAGCCCCAGAGAGTGGCATGTTTTCCTGAGAGCTAATTCCAGCTTTGTTTTTTGCCTACTGTAGTTGGAAATACACTAAAATTACAAATGGGTTTTCAAGCATACTGTGGATAACAAGAGAATAATAACCTACCATTTATGAAATGCCTCCATCCCGCTAGAAGTACTCTAGATGAAGATAGGAGCAGGAGAAAATCACAGAAGCTGAAATCCCCCGGCGTGATTTCTCCCCAGCTCTGGAAATGAACATTGCTTGGTTTTCTTTTTCTCTAGTTTTTGACCAGTTGGATGTCGTTTCCTATGAGGAAGTTGTTCGGCTCCCTGCGTTCAAGAGGAAGACCCTGGTGCTGATCGGTATCTTCTCATTGCCCCCATGTTGCTTTGCTAGTTACAGTACATTTCTGTCCGTATTCTCCTGCCTGTCGTATATCACTGTTCTTCCAAAAATGAAAAGCCAGGCAAAAAACTGAAGTCTCGGATACTCCCATATAGAGCGGATATTCTGGATATCCCGTCTGGGTCACCTTTTTTTTTTTTAAATTGGGGAACAGTGTGTTTTTCCAGGACCCATCAGCTCCAAGTCAGGTAGTTGTTTCAATCTAGTTGTGGAGGGCATAGGGAAAGAACCAGCAACCTTGGTGTTAGGAGCAGTGCACTCTAACCAGTTGAGCTAACCACCCGCACCCCCATCTAGGCCACTTTAAAAGGGAAACTTAACCATACAAGTTTTTCAGCAACTAATTCTTTTAGGTTGGGTTTGGTGGTGGCCAGTCGTAAAGTGAGTTTGGCTCTTTGTCTGTTCATCTGGTTGGCAGGAGGTGCGTTCCAGTCCTATACTTGTTTTTTTAGGCGCATATGTTAAGAGTATTTTGTTAGCAACGTGCAGGGCCCTGAGAAGTATTCTGTGCCCGTTAGTCAGTCACAGGAGCCCTGGCCTTGAAATGAAATGAATCCTTGGCTCCGGTGGGTGGCTTATATCCATCTTTAGAGTTAAAATATTAGTTGGTTAGACGATCTGTATTAGGGTTCCGGTAAAATTTCCAGTTAAAACACTGGCTTAAATTTAGTTCTGTTCATTTTGGAGAGCTCAGTAAAGCAAATATCCTTAGAAAATAGACAGAACCCCCCACATGTTAGCTGGCTCCTCTGTGGCAATAACACTTATGTTCTGAGTCCTGATCCTTAGCCCTTAGAAAGAGCCCCCTTCCCCAATGGGGACACAGGCCCGAAGCCCCAAATCCTCCTATGTTTAAAGGAATGCGTGCACCTGACCCCAGCCCAGAAGCTGAGCCAACTCACTTTGACCTGTTGGCGATTCGGGGCTCTGAGAGATGAAAACCCATATCCTATCCCTATTCCTATCCTCACCTTTGTCTTTGGGGAAAGAAATGGAAGCCTTCATTAAAATCATAGCAACGTGGATTCTCTCTTGTCTAACTAAGCCTTTCTTCTCTCCCTCTGCAGGAGCCAGTGGGGTGGGTCGCAGCCACATTAAAAACACCCTGCTCAGCCAGAAGCCGGAGAAGTTCGCATACCCTCTCCCGTGTGAGTACTCTGGGGGCCATGGAGGGTAGATGGGACCACCAGTCTGTGTCCAAGATACCATAGTGGCCTTTTTGTGGGGTGGCGATTTTATTTTAAATGTTTGATTATAAAAACAAAACACAATTGAGAAAAGCTACACATTTGTATCCATAATCTCTCCAGCTAACAACGTAACTGTTGTTTTTGTATTCTCTTCCGTGCTGTTCATGTGCATAACGGAAGCAGTAGTAAACATTTGTATGCTGCTTTCAAAATTAAGCAAGTAGTATGTTATTTAAAAACATATTACGTTTTGTTTTTTTTTATTTTTATTGGGGAATTGGGGGCAGGGGAACAGACAAGTTGCTGTNNTTTTGTTCTTCAGTCTAGTTGTGGAGGACGTTGCTTCACGGGCCCAAGTTGGCACCATCATTGCGCTCTTCCCAGGCGAGGCAGGTCAGTCGCTGGCTTCTGGACGGCTGCTCACGGCGGCTGCTGGCCACTCACGCTGGCTGCTGGCTACACACGGTAGCCCATGGCAACCCACTGCCACAGGAGCTGCAGTCTACGCCGTCGCCGGCGACTCACGGCAGCCCAGCTCCAGGTTGAGCTGTTGTTCAGCATCTTAGCTGTGGAGGGCAGTGCCCTCATATGTGGGATCTGAACCGGGGCACTCTGGCATCCCAAGCCAGCTCTTAACCAATGCGCCACTCAGCTGGCCCAACATATTACTTTTTTTTTACTTTATATTATAAACATTTTCTCAGGTGCCTCAATCGCTCTGGGAACTCTTCTAGTCCATTGAGTGGCTACACTGTAATTTCCTCAGCCATCCACTCTTGTTTGACGTCTAGGCTACCTCTGATTTTTCATGAAATATGTCCTAACTCAGAGCAGCACTCAGGAGAGGCACAGACAATCTCAGCAGCAGTCCCAGGTAGGGGGAGAATCGGGCCAGTGGTCAGATGGGGCATTTCTGTTCCCACAGCACTTCTGGCGTGTATCCCCAGGAAGAGATTCTACAAATCAAAGCAGAAAAGCAGATTCTAAACCGGAGATTCATATTTTTTTATTCCTTCTCCATTTTGCCTTTAGGGACATTGTGACACACTGGGGACAGAAAGCAAATGGCCTGCGTTGAGGAGTGAATGGGGAAATCTAGAAGTAGAAATATCGTCATTCAATACATTTGAACGAGAAGGGAGTTAGAGAAAGGGTGATGGGTGACGATAACATCACAACAAGGAAGAGTTGTTTTATAAGATGGAAAGAAAGAGATGCATGTGTGGCTGTGGATTGATGATGAGGATGGATATTGGGAGGTCCACTGCTGACAGGCAGGGAGGATTGGGTCTCAAGCTACAATATCTGGGGCATATTTTACTTTGGGCAGAGGCTAGTTTATATGAGTAATAGTAAACGTTGTGACGTAAGAACATTCCAGCATTTAACAATATGAGTTTCAGTGAAACTGAAGTACTCTTCTTTCCAAACTATGAAAAGAAAACTTTAACTATACTTCCAAGACATCCTGACCACCACCTACAGATCTGTTTTAAAAGTATTTCCAGCCGTCATTTCTCCATTTTTGAGCTTCAGTATTCCTGGGGTTGCTGGTTTTCCATGTGACTTCGTGTTACGAAAAATGATGATAGGACTTTTCTGTGCTGGGCTTTGCTGCTTCTTTTTTTTTTTAAGATTTTTATTGGGGAATTGGGGGAAGGGGAACAGCACTGGGGAATTGGGGGAAGGGGAACAGACAAGTTGCTGTCGTTTTGTTCTTCAGTCTAGTTGTGGAGGATGTTGCTTCACTGGCCCAAGTTGGCACCATCATTGCGCTCTTCCAGGGCGAGGCAGATCCGTTGCCGGCCTCTGGACGGCCGCTCACTGTGGCTGCTGGCCGCTCACGCTGGCTGCTGGCTACATACGGTAGCCCATGGCAACCCACTGCCACAGGGACTGCAGCCCACGCCGTCGCCGGTGACTTATGGCAGCCCAGCTCCAGGTTGAGCTGTTGTTCAGCATCTTAGCTGTGGAGGGCAGTGTCACTGGCCCTCATATGTGGGATCCGAACCGGGGCCCTCTGGCGTCCCAAGCCAGTTCTTAACCATCGCGCCACTCGGCCGGCCCTGGGCTTTGCTTCTTGAAGGTTAAACATGTTCTGGGCGGATGGGGGATTTCCTGATCAGCATTGTCTCATATCATCAGCCCTTAGGGATCCCGTGGGAGAAAACCCTCTATTAAATTCTCAGCGCCAAAGACAGCTAGGGTTTCAGTTCAGGCACCACGGTCCATGGCGACGACCCTGAGTGGGTCAGCAGTTTGGGTTCTTGTGCACAGATACAACACGGCAGCCTAAGAAGAATGAGGAAGACGGGAAGGAGTACCACTTCATCTCCACGGAGGAGATGACCAGAGCCATCTCTGCCAACGAGTTCCTGGAGTTTGGCAGCTACCAGGGCAACATGTTTGGCAGCAAATTTGAAACAGTGCACCAGATTCATCAGCAGGACAAGATCGCCATCCTTGACATTGAGCCCCAGGTTGGTGGGTACAGACAGGCAGGAGTGGATGGGGAAGAGGGAGCTGAAGAACAAAGCTCATGGGAATCCTTGCGAAGTTCAGATTTGCTTCATAGACTTTCAGTGGGGTCATCTGCAAGAACAGTAGTACTGGAAACCATGGAAACAGCACTGGGCTCAATGAAGCCCAGAGATGCTTATGGAGGAATGCATCATGACAGCTAATTATGTTTTTTAATCTTTTCTTCCTCCCTCCCCTTCCTCTTTTCCTAGACCCTGAAGATTGTTCGGACAGCAGAACTTTCACCTTTCATTGTGTTCATCGCACCTACTGACCAGGGCACTCAGGTGGGAAGAAGAGGGGTGTGCAGGGTGGGTGTGGGTTCACTCTCTGCGCCTGCCCAGCCTGGGACATCAACCCAGATCACTGGCCAGAGCGCTTCAGCTTGTGACCAAATGGCCCATGAGTCTCCTGGCTACTGCTCTCCTTCCTGAAAGGCCAAGAAGCCAATGGGCATATGCACATTCGATTCACTCAGCAGACAGTTATTAAACCACTAGCTAGGCCAATGACCATGCTAGGCAATGGGGACACAGCCATTGTTCCGGAAGTGCTCAGGGTCCAGTGGCAGACATGGACAGTTTGGTAAATCTTGACACTGGTGTGACCTGGGCTCAAGTGGGGCAAGCAGGGACAACCATGAAGGAGATGGCACTGAAACCACCCTTCGGGGTGGTGTGGCTGTGGGGAGTCAGGGAGAGGAGGGGAAGGAAGCCAGGAAGATACTGCAAAGCCTCCCCAGCTGCCCATTGCCCAGTTCCTACCCTGCATGCACTTGGCTGCACCTTGCTTTTTCACCAAACACAATGGAGATCTTTCCGTATCGGTGTGCAGAGAGCTTCTTCACAGTCTTACTTAGTAGCTGCATGGTCTCCCATTGTGTGTATGTAGCATAATTATTTAGTGTCACTATTCCCTTCTTTATGGCTATTTGGGTAGTTTTAAACCTTGGACTACTACACATAATACTGCAACCAACGGCCCTGTACATATCACATTTCACTTGTGTGCAAATATGTCAGAAAAACTGCAGGCAGGATGGCCAGGTCCAAGTATGTGTGCTTTGGGAATTGGGAATTGGGACAGAGATTACCTGGGAGAGTGCTTGCTTCCCTGTGCCAGCATCATGTTATCCAAACTTCCATTTCTGGCCAATTGTAATAGAGGGGAAAATGAAATCTCATTGCACTTTTATCTTATACTATACACGGTTGAGTATCTTGTTGGACATTTTTTTAAATTACATTATTTATTGCTGTAGTTTTTTATTTATTTTTATTTTTTTATTGGGGAATAGCCATGGTCATTGGTTACACATTGCTTTCATGCTACAATGGCATAGTTGACTCTTTTAAGGAGGGCACAGCTCACAGTGGCCCATGTGGGGATCAAACCGGCAACCTTGGTTATATCAGCACCATACTCCTACCAACTGAGCTAACCAGTCACCCGTCTTGTTAAGACACTTAAGGGCCATTTGTATTGCCTTTTCTGTTAATGCCTGGTCATGTCCTTAGCTTATGGTTTTATTGGGTTATTGACCTTTTTCTTATTGATTTCTAGGAACTCTGTATTAGGGTAATTAGCCCTTTGTGATACCAGTTCCAAATGTTTCTTTTTCCACTTTGGCATATATTTTGTTACTTACTGCTACAGAAACTTTTTTACTATTCTGGAGTTAAATTATCAGTCTTTCCATGGCCACTTGGCTTGGGTCCTAGAAAGAGGCCCGGGATTATAAATTGCCCTTCTCCTTGTCCTGGGATTGCAGCTCTGGTCGTTGCTGAAAAGGCTCTCCATGTTCAAAGGCAAGAACTAGGAGATGCTGGTGAAGTCCATGCCATTTCAACATAGCTACTGGTCTTCCAGAGCTGATTATTTATAATCAAGGGTAGTTTGAGATCCTCTGGGAATTGGTGTTAATTGATTGCCTCTCCATGTGTGACTCAACATTCTCAAGTAAGGTCTTCAGGGTGTGAGTATTTAAGCAGATGACTGGGAGCTGGGCAATGGTCACAATGGTCAACACCCACTTCAAAGCTGTCACTGGCCTCTTGTGCTTCATCAGTGGCTTTTTCTCTCTTTGCAGACGGAAGCCCTTCAGCAGCTGCAGAAGGACTCAGAGGCCATCCGCAGCCAGTACGCACATTACTTTGACCTCTCACTGGTCAATAATGGTGTTGATGAAACCCTTAAGAAATTGCAAGAAGCCTTTGACCAGGCGTGCAGGTCTCCACAGTGGGTGCCTGTCTCCTGGGTTTACTAAGCTTGCAGAATACAGGGAACTACTGTACACCCCTCTCCAGTATCTGAAACTCCATTCCCCTTGCTTTGAGACAAACAGGGTCACTCCAGCTAGATTTGTCAGCTTTCAGCTCTATGCAACTATCCTAATTAGGCCATAGGGTGTCAGTCTTGTTCAAGCTCCTGAAGGGCTGGGCTCTGGTTTTCTGGATACCTGGGGCCCATGATTATAGATTTCAAAAGGATCCCTGGCAATTGGGGGCCAGAAGTACTATCCAAATGCTGTTAATCAAAGATGGTGCACAAGGGGATGAAAAGCAATGGACCCTGTCCCTCGAAAGCCTCAGCTCCTTCACCTTTAATCACACTGGACATTTCATTTGTCTTTACTTTGAAGAAAGCACTTTTAACTGCAACTTTCTAAAATGCCAAAACGAAACAGCTGTGCTATAGGATGTGTGCTCTAAGAAAACCCTCAAAAGCAATAAAAATGTTGCTGTGTTAAAATGCCAAAAACCGTGTAAATCTCTGGGTTTTCACCTGCTCCACAAGACTCTGGAAAGGGAACTGTCACCTGCTTTATTTAAGCTCCTGGAGAATGGTATCCAACCGATGCCTCCCTCAAGCCAGTAACAATCTTAAGGGTCTAGAATAACCCAGCCTCTCTTTTTCTTTTTTTAAGATTTTTATTGGGGAATTGGGGGCATGGGAACAGCGCTGGGGAATTGGGGGAAGGGGAACAGACAAGCTGCCGTCGTTTTTTTTGTTCTTCAGTCTAGTTGTGGAGGACGCTGCTCCACCAGCCCAAGTCGGCACCATCACCGCGCCCCTCCCAGGCAAGGCAGACCAGTCGCTGGCCTCCGGACGGCCCGGCTGCTGGCCGCTCACGCTGGCTGCTGGCTACACACAGTAGCCCATGGCAACCCACTGCCACAGGGGCTGCAGCCTACGCCGCCGCCGGCGACCCACGGCAGCCCAGCTCCAGTTTGAGCTGTTGTTCAGCATCTTAGCTGAAGAGGGCAGTGTCACTGGCCCCCACATGCGGGATCCAAACCGGGGCCCTGTGGCGTCCCAAGCCAGCTCCCAACCATCGCGCCACTCGGCCGGCGCAGCCCAGCCTCTCTTGTATGGAGGGAGGGGGATCCGTGTGCTGGGCAGGACAGTTTGGTGTCAGTCAATCCTTTTAGCTTCCTTTATTCTCAAGAGTTTTCAGAGCACCCACGACTGGCTGCTCAGATTAAACCGAGTCCACATTAGTCCCCAAGAGTTATAAAATGCAGCTGCTAGGATTACAAACACCTGTGCCCTCAAGAAAACCCCAACACCCGAAACCCAGGTCCCCTGAGCCTGGTGTCCACGTACAATTCTTACCCTGTACAAGAACCATTAGGCAGGCATCTAGCTCCCTGCTAAACCTTGCCAGGGGCTTACATTCTGGCTGCATTTAGGGGAGGGGAAACCCAGCCTCCGGGCCCAGTGGGTCCTGGGCACTGGGGTGCACTCTGCACACCTGCAAAGGCCTCTCATGGCATCCGGTGATTCCCCAAGCAGCTGCTCATACTCATGGTTTTTGGGTAATCCTAAACCTCACCACGGCGTTCAATTCCCGGACGTCCACAACCACCCCCTGCTTCTGGCCACTCACCTGGCCATCAGCAGCTTCAGTGGGCCCCCAATCCTGAGCATGCCCAGATGTGTCTAGATCCTTGAAGGCCTGACCATCTAGCTCTCACATGCTTCCCCCCTTCTGACACTGACACCTCCTGCCAGGCCAACTCCATAAATTAGATCTTTCTCCTCTCAGTTATTACTCAATCTGTGATGAATACCCCTCGTTATCTAGTCAACGTCTTCAATAAAGATTCCAGAGTATTTGATCCCATGCCAGATGACAGGCCCTAAGGTGTATGTTGCAAGACAGAACCAGAAAGGAAACTAACGAAACATAAAGCACCCAATTTCAAATGACATCAAGGTCCCTAGATTGCTAATCCAATTATATTTGTTCTACTAGTTTGAGATCAACTATTAGAAGACCCAACAATATTGCCACAGGAATGTAAAAGACAGTTCGAGGAATATAATGTACTTTGTAGGGTGTCAGATGGTCACATGTCTTGCTAGGGAGACCGCATCATTGATGGGGTAGAGGCTTGATCACTGCACTATACACCTGAACCTGATGTTGTATACTATTGTATGTCAACTATAATATATATATATATATATATATATATATATATATATATATATATATATATATATAGTCATGGGACGTGGAGTATAGTGTGGGAGTGGAGTCAAGGGAATTGTAATAGATACATATGATATTGGGGGGGAAGTGGGGCGGCGGATTGTCACTTCGAGGGGTAAAAAGTATAACTATTACACTGTGTTGTACAGCTGAAATTAATTCTAACAAATGTATATTTCGGGCTGGCCGAGTGGCGCATTGGTTAACAGCTGGCTTGGGACACCAGAGGGCTCTGGTTCGGATCCCACATATGAGGGCCAGTGACACTGCGCTCCACAGCTAACATGCTGAACAACAGCTCAACTTGGAGGTGGGCTGCCATGAGTCAGGCGACAGCGTAGGCTGCAGCCCCTGCTGCAGTGGGTTGCCATGGGCTACCGTGTGCAGCCAACGTGAGCGGCCATACAGAACCTGGCACCTGATCTGCCTCACCCTGGAAGAGCGCAATGATGGTGCCAACTTGGGCCAGTGAAGCAACGTCCTCCACTAGATTGAAGAACAAAATGACAGCAACTTGTCTGTTCCCCTTCCCCCAATTCCCCAGCGCTGTTCCCATCCCCCAATTAAAAAAAAAACCCTTTCTTCTAAAAAAAATGTCTATTTCACAATAAAAAGTAATTTAAAACAAAACAAAAAAAAACGATTAGAAGACCCAACAGGATTACTTCAAAAACATAAGTAAACTTTTAATAAGTAAAAATTACAACCACCTCTTCCTAGCAATGAGTGATGGTATACTTTGAAAGAAAATGAGGGTTGAAACAAGAGAACACAAGCTTCTGTCATACAAGTAGCCAGATGGATTTAGGTGCGGAGGCTGTACCCAAGCTCTGAGTAAGTGTACCACTGACTGCTAGGCCAGAGGGCCTGGAAATGGCCAAGATGGAAGACCATGAGTCCTTGCCAGGCCTTTACCTGGAAGGGAGATAGACACCAGAATAGACCACTGCCCTTAGGACTGCAGACTTACCCACCCAGTGAACATGGTTCAGTTATATTCTTTTACTCTACACCATTTCACTACGCAATTTTTACAAACTTTTAAATGGGTGGGGGTAGGGGGGGAGGGTGGCAGAAGCAAATGCGTAAAGGACAATGATGTTAAAACAGCCATCAGGAAACAGCTGTACATGGTTACTGGACAGTACTGCGTCTGAAGGCAAGGCTTCCGGACTCTCCCAAGCAGGAAAGTGGGCGGTGTCAAATGTGCCTCCTGCACCCATATCCTTAAAACAGGACAGGATGAGATGACCACACCAGTTAACATCACTGAGAACTCGGGTAGCAGCTCAAGTGTGCCGTAACTCCACCCTTTCTGGGACCTATGTTCCATTCTCTCAACAACAAAAGGAACTGTTTTCTCAATAAGGCTTTCATTTCTCCTCCCAGCTGCACAGTGCTTCAAGTGATCTCCACTACCCAGAAAGCACTTCCACTTTTATTTTCTTCTTCTTCTTCTTCTTCTTGGTGGTGTCACTGTCCTGGCAGAAAGAGAAAGCAAGCTCACAGAATTATGTTATCAGAACCATTACCACTGTCCCAAAAGGAAATCTGGGAAGTTCCGCACAGCCAAGTAAGTGTGCAGGACCTGTCAGGACATTCTGCCTGAAATCTGTTTTGCACATGATGAAGTCCAGAGCTTGCCCGCGGTGCCCCAGTGGTCCACTTTTACAACCAGACACATCCGGAGTCCCAAGCTACACATCCTCTCTACCCACCATTAACAGAGCCCTATGACCAGTTAGCATCAAACGCCGGGGCTTGCCTCTGTCTATCCCATTGGGCCGGTGGGGGCAAAGGCACTCCAGGAAGCTGGGGCAGCTCCCAATGGAACCAAGCTGGCACCGCCTGGGCAATCCCTGGCCCTCTGAGGACCAGGCGGGCCCAAGTGGCCTGAATGTGTCTACATACCGCGTCGCCATCTCCCGGCTCGCCTGCACTCTCCTCAGCAGCCTTGGCCTTCTTGTCCTTCTTCTTCTTCTTCCCCTTCTTGATCAACTTTGGAGACACTGGAGACGCTGGGGATGCTGGGGAGGTCTCGTCACTTTCACTCTGTCGCCTCCGCTAAGGTGAGACAATCGACCAAATGTTAGATCTTGGGCAAGAATGGAGGAGAAAGGTTCAGTAAGGCAAAAGGTGGGGTTGGGCGGGTGGGGGAGGACCAGAAAAAGTCCTGAGTCCAGTAGGAAGTTTTCTACTTATGAACCCCATAGGTCCTGAGATTTACCAAGGGTCTGAAGACAGTCTCATCCACAAAGACCAGGAAGCCATGGGCATAGCCGAAGCACCAAAGCAGCAGCGTGGAACTTGGGGATGGAATGATCCCAGGCAAGCTATTTCTCTGGAGGCCAACCTCACTAGTGTGCAAAGTCGGCTGCCATGCCTCCTGGGGCACTACCACAAGTCCTAAGAGGTGGCAGGGAAGGCAGGAAAAGCTCTTCCCAGAAAGCTCAGGGCCGCACACATCATTCTCAGACTTCTGAAACACTGACCTGGTGCTGTCTAGAGGCGGCTGCCAACCTCTGGTGATTTTGCTCCCTAAGTGTCATACAGCTGCAAGTGTCACAGCCTCCAATTGCAATACACCTGTGCCACCACTTGGGCGCCAGCTACCATGCACCCTCACTGTTTCAGGGGTATTGTCTTAGCTGAGGTGGAAGATGAGGCCAGTTCGATTCCAGAACCCACCCCACAGCAGACACAACAGGGCATGTGAACTGGCACCTGCAGAGCCCTAATGAGCGCCCTGGGAACACAGCTCCATGGGCACCATGCTCCCACGGGGGTGGGAAGCCCTGCGGGACTGAGCCAGGATCCATGGCCAGACCACACAGTCGTCGGTCAGCAAGAGAAGCCAAACAGAACCATCTCGTGACACACATTCCAAACAGATCTCAGAAGGGCCGGCCGAGTGGCTCAGTTGGTTAAGAGCTTACTCAAGAGTTTGAGCTCTGAGCAACAGCGGTTTGAGCCCGGGCCTGAGCTGAGCTGCCACTGAGCTGCCAACAGGTGGCAGGGTGGCTCAGCTAAAACAAAACAACCAAACAGATCTCAGCATGCCGCTCACCTTTTCGGCTTTCACGGTTTCAGGCAGCACCTCTTTCTTCACATCACTGAAAGGAGAAGTAGCCGTTGGTCAGATTCGCTGATCAGCTTTCCCTGCAGAACCTGCTGCACCGGCATCAACCAGTGATATCTGGCAAGTCTGAAGCCATCATCAAAATAGTGACGCTGGACAGAAGAACTCACCACTTACTGTTGCAGACTGACTCCCTCTAGAGTCCCACAAGCCAGACTAGAAAGGGATAACTGTCTGCTGGGCAGGCACATGCCCCTACCTGGCCCGGGCAGTCAAGGTAAAGCAACCTGCTGCTCCCTACAGCCTCCCAGGCCTCACGGAGCACCACATGGGTTCCCCCCACACACAGCTGGGCCCCACGACCTCCTGTCCTAATTTGTACCATCTACCCATGAGCTCCACACCCTCCTATCCGCACTGCAGCTGGCATCCTCACCTGTAGTGACCGCATCCAAAGGCAAGTGTGCCATCTCTGCCTGCCCTGGGTCTCTACAACACCCTGCCCTCACCTGTAGTCGACATACTCCTGCGTCCAGGTGGCAGGTGTACTGTCCGTGGGCTTGCCGTGCTTATCCAGAAGGCCCTGCTTGATCATCAACCTCTTCTGACTTGCCTGGTGGACCGTCAAGGTTTCAACATGAGGACGGTGTCAACACATAAAGCAGGTATTATGACTGCATGCAGCCTGCTCAAATGACGTTCCTCCCTTGTGCATTGTCAGCTGGGTCTCGCTCCTCTAGAGCACTCCAAACTCACCCACTCTCTCCAATAGGAGCAAACGTGGACTTGTTCAAGTCTAAGGTCACGAAGCTTATATCCTAGCAAGAGCCTGTGCAGAGTCACCTGTGGCACAGGGCCTCTGCACATGCTAGCCCAGCACCCTGGGCCTCCCCTCCCCACATCAGTATCTAATTGCATACCCTTCACGCTGGCATGGCTCAAGCGAAGGCCCCTTACCCAGAACCCCTCACCAGGCTGAACCCCCTCACTGTGGGCTCTCAAGGTGCCAGGCACGCCTGCACTCCTTGATAAGCCCTCAACTGGGCTCAAGTTCACCAGCCTATTGTGCAATGTGTGATGCCTATGTGCTTCCTCCCATGAGACTGACACTTCCAGGGTCTGAGATGGGAACATTTCTACTCACCATCAACTTCCCCAGAGCCCAGCACAAGGCAAGGTTGTAGCAGTGGGGGCACAACAAGAGCTGCCCAAGTATTCAACAACGCTAAAGAGAATGACCTAGCTGGCCGAGTGGCTCCGTTGGTTAAGAGCTCGCTCAAGAGTTTGAGCTCTGAGCAACAGTGGTTTGATTCCTGGCCCGAGCTGAGCAGTCGCTGAGCTGCCAACAGGTGGCAGGATGGCTCAACTTAAAAAAACAAGAGAATGTCCTGGCAGGGCATGCACCCAGTCCCGCTTACCTTGGGACCTAAGCCCCACTTCCGAGGGTAAGTGTCTCTCTCCATGATCACTCTCTTGATCTTGGCTACTATCCCATGGTCGCAGGTAGAGATGACTGCTGTGGTCATTAATGCAATAGCTGCAGTGTCGTAGAGATAAAGAATGATTTCAAGGGAAAGATCTGATAACCAGTAAGCCCAAATTCTACCGTTTCTGCAACTTCTTCAAACTCCCAGCTCTGCCGCCTTAACTGAGGTGTCTTCCGCTGAGGGTGTGCATGTGGATATACAGACCACGGGTGGGCTAAGGCCCTTGGTCAATTACCACGGACATCTGTTCCCACTCATTGATTCCCTTTTCTCACTGGACAGCCCAGCTGCTGAGACATGGCCTCTGACAGCAGCCCGTGGGACAAAGGGAACCCCCACTTACCGCTGCCTCATCTGTACCTTCTGACATGGCTCTTCACTGTGACCACCCCTACAGGTGCTTGGCAACACAGCGAGTAGATGATGAGACTGAGGAGGGCAGGACGTGGGGACCTGCTCTTCATGAGCCTAGCTATGATAGTACAGAAGGGCGGAGGGCACCTTCCCCTCTTACCTATGCAGATTGCTTCCCCTTTGGTGGTGATGACCACAATCTCCTGATTTACTTCAATGCCATCCTCGTATCGAAGAACACCCGGAAGCATGATCTTCGCCCCGTAGCAGATTGCATTCACCTGCAGGGATGGTACCACCCTTAAGAACCCAAGGCACTGCCCTCCATCCCACACCTACAGCAGAGCAAAGAAGGACAAGGGGGAGAGGGCCTGCAGGCATCTCCCCACCTGTGAAATGGTGCCAACAGCACTGACAGTCATTGGCTGCAATCGGCACGTGAAGGGACTTCGAATAACAGCAGCCAGGCACCATGCACTAGGCACCTTACACACGCTGACTTAGAAATGTGAAAGAGGCCTTCACATAGCTACTCCTTGTACATCTGTGCAACTGAAAGATGGTTTCATCTTAAGCCAAAACCCAGCCTTAGTTTTACTTAACTGTTCTTCTCTATGCCTTATTATTAGGAAAAAACTTTGACAGGCCTAGGGACTGATTAGATTTATTGGGAGATCTGGGTAATAACAGGCTCCCAAAATAACTCACAAGCCAGACTACGAGTCCTGCTGAACCAATACAAACAAGTTTTGGCATAACTTATAGGCCAATAGGTATGAGTTAATGTCACCTGAGTTCGGTGGCATTCAATACATCCATCTGCCTTGTCCCATCATCTTCACTCACCTAGATCTCTTTCGCTGCCAGTATTCCACGCTCCCCTTAAATTCACCCAGAAGCTACCAGTATGACCCCAGCATAAGGAAGGTGTATCACAATTATATTGGTTTTATGTGGCTATTGTCATAGTGGCATGCTTCAGCATACCTCTTTCATTTTTCTCTGCTTTTTATTATGAACTATAACATATAAAAAAATACATCAAACATATGAAAAACATATCAAACATCTAAATAACTTAGGATTTAAATGAATGATAAACCTCTATTAAATATACAGAAATTTATATTCTTCAAAGTTGGAGAACTTTTATTGCTATGTAACACTTAACAAAAACTGGATGTGCACTTGGCTACAAAGACAATCTTAATTTATAAAAGGCCACATTCTCTGATCATTACACCATTAGAAATAAGGCTGTTTACAAAATTCTGCACTACTTGGAAAGTAAGAAATTCATCCTTAAACGCTGGCCAAGTGGCTCAGTTGGTTAAAAGCTCGCTCAAGAGTGTGAGCTCTGAGCAATAGGGTCGCCGGTTCGATTCTCGGCCCAAGCTGAGCTGCCAACAGGTGGCAGGATGGCTCAGCTAAAAAAAAAACACAAAAAAAACTCATCCTTAAAATCACTACTAAAGAGGAAACCCAAATTGACATAATTAATTGCATATTTACTTGCATCATTAAGAGGACTTCTCCCAATGTTATTTAGTAAATATGCTAAGAAAAAAGGTTTGAAAGGTCCAGTGATGTTTAGGTTTTATAGACTCGAGGAAAATGTTTAATTAATTTGCCTCATTTTGAAATACAATTAGGCCTAGCATTAGTCTTTTACTTGAATTTAGTGTGTTTGGTATTGATTTCATTTAAAAAGTTAATCATGAATACGTCCACTATTAACAAAAAAAAAAGGAAAAAGGAGTCCAGTGTCCAATCTATGAAACCAAAAAAAGGAAAAGATTCCCCAAGGAAAATGAGTTCACAATGTCATGTTTCATCTCAAGTAGAAAAGTTTTCAGAAAATGAACCACGTGTCATCTTTGGAGTCACATTTTTTCCAAACATGGACTCAAAACCCAGAACTTACTGCACTGTCTTTCATGACTAGCCGTTTATGAGATGTCAACAGCTTTTCCAAAGGGTACACAACTCGCCGCAGGTAACTCTCATCCTTGTGGTTGTCGTACAGCCACTGGGCATCAAGCACATCATGCATCGTCACCATGTGGTCCTGAAAAGCAGCCATGTATGAAATTTATTCAGTGCCATTGGATCTCAAATAGCCCAACAGACCCCAAAATTCTGAAAACTGAATAAATTTAGTCTTATCTGCTAGTCCAAGCTCATTGGTCTTCAGTCACTTTAGAATTACTTCTCTCTGAACATCTTTAACTGCTGATTATCATTAACTGCTGATTATATATTTAAATCTGAGCAAGCATTTTTGTAGGCTGGGAAGTAAATGAATAGAGTAATGCTTTCTATCCAATCATCTCCCCTAGCCTGTTTCAATGTCCCAAAGTTTAATTAACAGAACAGGGGGAGCTGCCCTGAACTGAACTCAACACTTTGGAAATTGCCTTTTCCAGGATGTGAAGCAGGCGGAGTTCCACCAAGGGCTAGACTATATTAAGTACCAGCTCTACTTCTCAACCCACCTTTTCGCTCATGACTCCAGAACGAATTCTCCGAAGTTCCTGCATCTGACCGCCAACTCCCAGTAATAAACCAAGGTGCACACACAGTGTCCGAATGTAGGTGCCAGCCTCACAACTCACCCAAAAGATTCCTAAGACACACACACAAAAGTAGCACACATTTTCGGAAATGAACACATCACTAGTTGAGAAACCCAGACCTGAGCCAGTGAGACTAGAGACGACAGGCACACACAGGCCACGACCACACCATATGCTAAGGGCCTCACCTACTTTTAACAACCGAGTATAATCTTCAAGAATGCATTCCTACCCACCTAAGGTCTATGTAAATTCAATTCCTCACAGGCCCAATGACCCACCTAATCTTCTTTCGGGATCGTATTCAATCATTTTGCTCTCGTAGATGGTCCGCACTCGGAGTTGCCTCTTTACTGCAGCAATAAGTGGGGGTCGCTGGAATAAGGCACCTGTCAGAGTTTCTAGGGCCTGAGAATAAGCACAAACCAAAATAAAGTCTCTCACTGCATGGACTTTCAAATAAAATCAAAGGGCGCATTTTGGGATTTTAAGGACACAACTGAAACACAAGTTTTTTTCAATCATTTAAGATCTCAAATGCCCTTTCAATTTTTGCTTTTCTTCAACACACAGGGATGGCTCAGTGTTAAGCTGAACCCTCTCCTCAGAAGGGACATGGCTGGAAGTGCCTTGGCCATCTGCAGTCACCTGACCAGGTTGGCTATGGCTGCCCACTGAAAGGGCAAAAGAGGCCAGCCAGGAAAGCTGACCTGTCTACAGATGCCTAGGGGGCTCAGAGATCCATGTCACCAAATGATGCCCTCCCTACAATTACAGACTTACCCTAAAAAGTTGAGTGCCCCCTTCAATAGCATTGTGTAGCCGGACAATTCCCACATACTCTTTGCCTGAAAAAATGACAAAAAGTAGTCAGGTGTGGCCACTGAGTTTTCTGTCTTTTTATATACCCATATCACTCCCATTTTGTGCAGCAGGAAAAGCAGGCAATTTGACCTCTTATTAGGTTGCATGGTACAAACATGGGAAAGGAATCAAGATACTTTCTCTCATCAAGAGTTCAACTTCCAATGTGCTGACAGGGATAGTTGGAGTTCCCAGTGCAGAGCCTGCCTGGAAAAAACTTTGCAAGGTCAAGTAGGAGAATATTCCCTGATGAAAATGAGGGAAGGGCCTTTAGGCAGAAGCAGCAGCATGGAGTTAGAGGAGCCTGGAATGATAAGCTAAGAGTTGGTTGGACGCAGGTCTGCCTCAGTGTGTACACAGTCAGTACCTGGAACTCCAAGAAAGGCAGACAAACCAGGGTCCGGCAGGACAGAAGGCACGTAGAAACCAAGAGCAGCCCTGCTCAAGAGCTTTTTACTAATAAATAAATCATTTCCAAGAGCCAATACATACATAGAAGGGAAATACAGAAAACCTTCCAATACAGAAATATAGTTAGCTACCTCTTCCTTCCCTCTTCCACATACCTGCGCTCTGCTGTGATTTTACCAAGCGAGTGGCTCGTTCTATGCACACGATTAAACAGCCAGTCACCTTGGGATCTAGAGTACCACTGTGTCCTGTCTTCTCCACTCGAAGTATCCGTCGGATCCATGCTACCACCTCATGGGAAGAGGGGTTGGAGGGCTTGTCAAGATTAATGAAACCTGTCCTAGAATGGAAAAGAAATTACTTGGCCATTGGCTCTGATCATCTAATAAAAACTAAATTTGAAGAGTAAAAATGAAGGGTTCACCATGAGGACAGGTTATATGATGTTTAGGGCAATGCCATTCTACAATGCCACTACCTCTTTGAATAACTGATGTGAAAGGGTTATTGTGAAAAGAACACAAGTTTGAACAGTGCTTAATCCCAACACTTACCTGATATAATCCCCAATTTCCCTCTTCAGAGGACTTGAACCACAAGGAAGAGGTGTATAGTGTGTCGTCCTCACATTTAGCTTATCAAAATTCTAGAAAGCAATGACACAACACAAAATAAACTTAATAAGCCATTAATATACATAAAACCTGAGTCAGCACTACCACCAACAGTGACATGGTTACCGTTACAGTTCATAAACTTGGATGTTGCTCCTATATGTCCATTATCTGCTGTGACAGACTGTAAACCTTACACACTGGAAAAATTACCCATGAATAAGACAAATTTCTTTCCAGCGGTGACAACTTCCCCATGAAAACACGCCTCTCAGGAAGGATTTCCCGCATCCCTTTCCAGAAGAAAACAGGAACACAAGAGAAGGGGCCTGGGGCAGAACCCCAATTCCCACTTCATAGCTGTGAAATGCCCAGGGGGCTATACAATCACCACTGTCCCTAGCCATGCAGAAACACTAGTTTTACGTGCTGGCTGTTCCACTGTCCTCTGTCAGCCTACAGGAGGAAAAGCGAGGCTTTACAGAAGGATGCTGCTTCAGAAGGAAACAGCACGAAAAGCACCTGAGTCAGGACGAGTGAGGAACCATCATCCCAGTAAACACATTCTGGATGGATGGATGGATGAATGCGTAAATAAGGCAAATCTGATCACTCTTTACAAAGAGACTTCGTGGGGTACCACAGAACAGAGTGGGCTTCACTGTGCAGGTTTATGAATAAAATATGGACTAGCTTTGATTTTCTCAAGGACAAAAGACAGCCTAATTGAGGACTGGCAACAATGTCTCTGAAACATAATTAGCTTGTTCCTGCTGCAGAAGCCCCTAGCTCTGCTTTTCTCATGTCTGCTCCTTTTCACTTTCCTCCTTTGAGGCTCAACCACTGGTCTGAAGGAGCTCCCCTCAATTGAAGCCCATCTTTTATATCACCAGTTTCATTTCATCATGGTACTTACCACAAATAGCCATTATTTTTTTTAACTATCTCCTACCCACCCCTAGATTGTAAGTTCCATGACAATAAGGACTTTGCCTACCATAGGTTCACTGGCATATTCCCGGGGCCTACAACAGAAAAGCAGATGCTATCTAAATGGAAGAGACATCTGGCCAAGCAGAAATTCAACTGTGTTCAATTATATAAGCAAATCTCATTCGTCTGCCATTATATACACATTTTACTAAAATACTTTGTCAAGGGGTGTTTCTCAGTAACTTTTTCTAGCCTTTTTCTCCTAATCTCAGAGCTGGTGCCCACTAAATCATTTGTGAAGCCTGTAATTCAAATCATTACTACTCTATTTATAATCCAACACAACACAATAATTTATAGAGGACATGTTACATGCCAGAGGCTGTGGCTAAACACATTTTATGGATTACCTCCCACAGCCCTCACTCAGCCTGTCTTACTAAGAGAAGATATGCACAAACAGCCTCAGAGAGGTTAAAATACTGGCCCAAGGTAACACACTGCCTGACACAAATGGGTCTGGCTTCTAAGCCCATGCTCCTCAAGCACTGAAGCAGTCCAACTGCAAGTGTGGCCCACAATTTGGCACAAGTCCATAAGGTGGATTTAAGTACAGAAACTGAGGACTAATTGTTTATAAACTCTGACAGCAGTTCGACGTTGTTTCAACATGTTAACTATACTCTATGACAGTGTTGGGTGCACTGAAAAAAAACACAACAATAATAACCTGGTCCTTTATCTCAGACACCTGAGGAACACCGCTTTAGACTGTATCACCTGGCATTTCTTTAGTGAAGAATGCCAGCATTAAACACTCTTAATAAACTGTTAACACAAATAATGTAAAAAGCTAGGCACTGACCTGATACACAATCATAACCACATACCTTTAGCAACAGGGGCCACTGAGATGTGTCCAACTGAGCCACTTTGGATTCAGGTTTGATAAGAAATTCTTCACCGTGTTGTATTTCCTTGCATGGGAGAGAAACATACCCTCTTAGGTTTCCCACCTGATTTTGAATAATTCCATTACTACCACAGAAGCCTATGCCCTTCCAATAGAAAACCAGGTAGTCTCTGCCTCTTCACTAAGACCTCCAAGAGAAAGAAAAGAAACGAGCCAGGATCTCAGAAGGGTAAGTTAAGTTCCCCCAAGATGGATACAGCTATTTAAAGAGAAAGAGGGATAGGGGGTCTGCAGGTGGAATAAGAGGGAGAAAATTGCAGGGAAAGCGTTTGGTGAGGCCAGGCCATTTAGGAAACTACCTGATAGGAGAGGCTTAGGTTGACTGGGGTTGTGCAGTTTCTACGCAACCAGCAACCGCCCAATTCCTTCAAAACCTTTAAAAATAGTTGTCTGTAATTTGTTATCTAAGTGATCTTTCTTTTTAGTCAAAACAAAGTAAAACATATTTCTACTCACTGCTACATCTTCTTCTGGTAATGACTTCAGCCCTTTTTTCTTCTTATGCTTCTTCGGCAAAATAAATACTAAAAATAAACAAACAAACCCCGATTTGGGAGTTCTCCCCGAAAATAAAGGCAAATAAGTTTAAAATAGAAAACGAAACCAAAGCAGGTATTAAATGGACGTTTGGCCTAGAATTACTGGGGAAAACAATGTAGGTAAGGCCAAATACGTGGGTTGCTCAGTAACTGACGGCAAGCGGTAGCACATGTCAGCTGCCGATCGATTCACCACGTGGCCATGGCGGGTCTTAACCATGCCGCAGAAGCGCTCGACCTGCGGGCTGGAAAGTTCCACCAGTGAGCGCTTGACTGGCGGCGCGAGTTTGTGACCTCTAGAACTTTCTTGCGTGTTGGACCTACGCTCACGCCGGAGCCCCCTGGCCCCTTCTCTTCCACGCCCGTTCCAACCACTCTTTCCTCTCCTCATCGTGGGGCGCAGACCGCGGCGTCTGAGCTGCCGGCGGCACAGGTACTGCTCGGTCTCCTACCACCGCAGGGTCACCGGCACGGCCAACGCCTTTCCATGGCGACCCGGGCCCTAAAGGGGCTGTGCCGTCAGCGGAAGGCCCGGGTCTCACGGCGCCACCTCATCATGAGAGCCTCCCGCTTTTTGGCCCTCACCCGTTGAGCCAAAACGAAGAAGCAAGGCCGGCAGGAAACCCGGCGGCGACCGTGCCAACCCAGCGGCTGGAACCAGCAGAACTGGGGCCCCGACGCCGTCCACCTCCCCCCGGCTCTCCAAGCAGGCTGAGCTGGCCCCGCTAGGGGATACTCGGCCCGACCAAAGGCGAGATAATGACCCCTACCTTCCATGTCCGCCATGTTGCCCCACAGAGCGTGCGAGCCGCGTGGGCCACAGCCAAGAGAGGGATTAGACTCCCGCCGCCGTCAGGGCGCGCCACTAGAACCCGCCCACCTCTGCACCGCCCCGTGCGTGCCGCGACGTGCGGCAGTGTCAGGGTAAAGGGGCCGAACCTGAAGAGCGCGCGGGACGCCTCCACAATCTCATTGGCTGACTCAGCCCGGGTAGCGTGCCTGCGCATGCGCGTGCGCGCGTGCTTTGGGCCTGAACCCCGCCCTTGGCAGCACGGGCCGCGATTGCGTACGCAGCCCGCCTTGGCAGCCCGTAGTCTGTGGGCGTGGTCCGGGCCGCTGTTCACTTACCATTTCTGTGTTTAACCCGGGCTTGGGCACCTGGGCACCCAGATGAGTACGCTATTAAGTGTAGCTCGTTGCTTTCTAGCCAACCCTTTAAAGTTGGTGTCTGATCAGTGCCGATTGAAAAATGAAAACGTTAAGGCACAGAGAGGTTGAAAGCCCTTTGCTGCTTGCAATTGCCATCCAGCTAGAACCGCGCTGGCCAGTAGGAATAGAGTGCGAGCCACTTGAGACTTTTCAATTTCCCAGCAGCCGCACGCGGGGAAAAGTAAAAAGAAAAACGGTGAAATTTATTTTAATAACGAATTTTATTTAACCCAGTGATCCGAAATATCATTTCAACATATAAGCACCACACAACATTATGAATGGGTTATTTTACTTTTTTTTTTGTACCAAGTTTTTCACGTGTGTTTTACACTTACAGCACGCTTCTGTTTGAACTCCACGAACGGGTGTCCATGTCAAGTGCTCTATAGTCACAGGTCACTAATGGCTGCGGAATTGGACAGCCAGGATGTAGCAGCTTCTGGTTCAAGCCCTCTTCCCTTCTGTCTTTGCTCTTCTCACTCTTCTGTCTCAAGCGGGGGTTCTTAAACGAGCCTCTATGGACTTGATTGACCCCTGGTTATTCAGTTCTTTATTGAGTTTGTAAATAGAACTTTTTGCCATTATCTTTTCTAATGAGTTGCTGCTGACCTAAGAGCACAGCTATTGCTCTTCTTCCATTCCTTCTCCACCGTCCAGAGAATACAAATTTTTCAGTTTTGTTTTACTGTGGCTTAAAAAAAAATGACTCGTTTTCCCTCATGTAACTTTTCATCTATCGAGAATTTATTTTGGTATATGCCAAGGTAATAATAATGATCTAAATTGACTTTTTATAGATAACCAAAGTCCCCAGCATCAACCAATCCATGAGTAGTTCATTACTTCCCCCATTATTTTATAATATTTCACTAATACATATTTGGCTGAATAAGTTTGAGGTATTCACTGAGGTTTCTCCTATGGGCTTCACCTTTCTCCAACACTCAACAGATCTGTTAGCTAAGTCCGTCAGCTTTGCTTTCAAAAGAGATGCAGAATCTGATGGTTCTTCACCCCCTTCACTGCTGTCAACTGTAGTCCATGCTATCCTTATGGGTTTCCTAGAGTTTTTTCAGTGGCCTCCTGCAGTCCCCCCTGCTTCTACTTTTCCCAACTATAGTGTCTTCTCAACACAGCAGCTGGAAAGAGCCGTTAAACTATAAGTCAGGCCATGCCCCTCCTCTGCTCAAAGCCCTTCAATGGCTTCCTTTCTGTAGTGGGGTGAAAAGTAACCCCCCAAAAGATATGTCCTAACTCCTGGACCCCATGAATGCAACCTTATTTGGAGAAAGGGTCTTTGTAGATGTAATTAAGTATCTCAAGATGAAATCGTCCTGGATTACCCAGGTGGACCTCAAATCCAATGACAAGTGTTCCTAGACAAGAAGTGAAAGACACACAGAAGAGACCAAGACCATGTGAAGATTGAGGAAGAGATTGGAGTGGTTTCCGACTTCCAGCATTCAGAATTGTGAGATAATAAATTTCTGTTGTTGAAAGCCACCCAGTTTGAGGTAATTTGTTATGCTAGCCCTAGGAAACTAATACATCACGCTGCCTCTTGGCTGTTCAGGACTACCAGGCACATTCTTCTCTCTTCCTTAAATGTACCTGGTTTAGGGCCGGCTGAGTGGCTCAGTTGGTTAAGAGCTCGCTCAAGAGTTTGAGCTCTGAGGGCCGGCCGAGTGGTGCGATGGTTAAGAACTCGCTTGGGATGCCAGAGGGCCCCGGTTCGGATCCCACATATGAGGGCCAGTGACACTGCCCTCCACAGCTAAGATGCTGAACAACAGCTCGACCTGGAGCTGGGCTGCCATGAGTCGCCGGCGACGGCGTAGGCTGCAGTCCCTGTGGCAGTGGGTTGCCATGGGCTACCGTATGTAGCCAGCAGCAGCCAGCGTGAGCGGCCAGCAGCCGCAGTGAGCGGCCGTCCAGAAGCCGGCGACTGATCTGCCTCGCCAGAGATGAGCGCAATGATGGTGCCAACTTGGGCCAGTGAAGCAACATCCTCCACAACTAGACTGAAGAACAAAAACGACAGCAACTTCTCTGTTCCCCTTCCCCCAATTCCCCAGCACTGTTCCCATCCCCCCAATTCCCCAATAAAAATCTAAAAAAAAAAAAAAAGAGTTTGAGCTCTGAGCAACAGTGGTTCGGGTCAGCCCGAGCTGAGCAGCCGCGGAGCTGCCAACAGGTGGCGGGATGGTTTATTATCTGTCTCTGTACTAGAATATTATTAGCCTTATGAAGCCAGGAAAATTTTGTCTATTCTATTCACTGCTATATACCCACCTCTAGAAAACGCTTATTAAGAATTTGTTGAATGAATCTGTCTTATGAATCCAGAAGCCCCATGGACCTTCCCTTACCAGTAGAAGCAGCTCCTCCTCCACTGACTGATGAGACTGACCCTGCCTTTCTTGGAAATCTTGTAATGAAATCAGCTGGTCAGTTTCTAGCAATGGGATGCCAATTCTCCTTGTGCCCCACTCCTTCCATCCCTCATTGTCTCCAATCCCAATTCTCAAGGAGGTGGGAATGTTGGAATGGAATTGTCATGTGCATCCCACTGGCACACCCCTTAATTACATCCCCTGAGAGGGCCAAAGGACATTCCTTTCACCAAAACACTTAGACTTGGGGGAGGGGAGTTGTCACTTCGAGGGGTAAAAAGTGTAACTATTGCACTGTGTTGTACAGCTGAAACTAATTCTAAAAAATGTGTATTTCATAATAAAAAATAATTTAATTAAAAAAATGTAATTGATACCAAAAAAAACACACAAAAAACACTTAGACATATTTTGGTAAAGGTTCTGGAAAACTAGTCTGGGAAAGGAGGTGGGAAGCGTTGCCATGGAAACAGGCTTGCAATCCCAGTGGGAACGATGGGATCATGGAGCTGCAGAGGCCAGGTGGTGGCACTAGTTCTCAGAAATAGGATGAGTATCATCATATGCAGCAGGACTGGCAGCTGGAACCAGAATGGTTTCCTCCCATGGATCTTTAGTGGTGGTTAACTGATCATGATATCCTGTTAGTAGGCTACCTGTAGTAGCCCATGATCTGTACAACACTAGCAACCGACAACAAAAATCTCTCTGTCTGGTGAATGGCGGCCTGCCTTGAATCACCACAGTGGAAAAATCATGGCCCCTCATCTAATTCTGAGACCCAATCAGTCCACAGGCTCAGAGCCCTCAAGCAAAGGGGAAACCAGATACACATAACACTACAAGTGTATACTGTATTTTTAAACCTCCCTCCCACTCTCTCCTGGGTTCATAGAATGCCACTGTAGTCCACTGGTCAGAAATGGAGTCTCAATCTGTCTTTTTCCACTGTGGGTCCCCCTGAGGCTCTTTCCCCAGTTCCTGATTGCAGAATTGGAATAAACAAATATGCAGATAGAAGAATCCCCACAGGGGCTTCCTGACTCAAGGACTGAGGTACAAAGAAAGGTCAAAAGGAGTCACCCAGCACTATCTCTGCAATTCTATGCCACATTACCATAAGTCCCCAGAGATTGACTTTATCGCCTCAGGGGGCCCCCGAGCCATCATGCTGCTCTGCTACATTAATGACTTGCTGAATGGGCCTGATGCATAAGAAGTAGCAAATATTTCACCACAGGGTGAGAGATAAGCCCCAGGAAAATTCAGGAGCCCAACACACCTGGGTATCCAGTGGGGTGTGACATATTGAAATGGTCCTCCCTAAGAAAAGCAATTTGCTGTACCTCAAACCTACTGTCACTAAGAAAAAAGCACAATGTTTGGTGGGCCTCTTTCTGGAGGTGACATTCCCCATTAGGATGCTACACGGAGCCTTTTCCATGACTTGATTAAAGAATCACAGCTCAGGCTTCTGGAATCAGGATAAAAATAAAGCTAAGATCTACACACACACACACACACCAATTTGCTGGGAGGAAAAGTTCCTGACTCCTTTAGTTCCTGATGACCATCTGACACAAGTAGTCTTATGACCTGAGCTGCACATCATGAACTAGCCATTGACTAACCAAGTCATAAAGTCAGGCATGAGTAGCAGCATTACCACCATCAGTGGTGCAGCTGCTGGAGAAAACAGTCTGGCACTTTCTCAGAATGTTAAACAGAGTTTCCATATGACTCAATGATTCTGTTCCTAGGTGTATATACCCAAAAGATTTGAAAACAGGGACTCAAACATGATGTTGGGGACTTGTACAGGAATGTTCCTAGCAGCATGAGTCACAGTAGCCAAAAGGTAGAAACAACCCAAATGTTCATGTACAGTTGAATGGAGAAACAAAATGTGGTCTAGCAATACAATAGAATATTACTCAGCCATAAAAAGGAATACAGCACTGATAAATGCTACAGCATAGAAGAACTTGGAAAACATCATGCTAAATTAAATAAGCCAGAGACACAGGGACAAATATTGTGTGATTCCACTCATATGCAATAGGCAGAATAGGCATCCTAGCACAGATAAGCATATGAGTGAGGAAGCTTCCAGAATATTATAGCTTCCAGCCCTCCAGTCACCCTCAGCCCTCGAGTCATCTCAGCTGAGCCCTCAGACATTATGGAGCAGACATTCCCACTGCATCCTCTCTGAATTCCTCAGTGTCATCTGTCAATGGAATAACAAACCATCCGCAAACTTGGTGTCATTAAACAAATATTTTATT